TTACGATACTCTAAGCAGAAACACTGGGTGAGGGGTCCTTGGGAACTAGGAACTTGGGATTTCCCACCTTTCTTTGATTTTGGCCTTCTGATAGCTTGAGAATCCCCTGAGCTCAAGCAAGTCAAGTGTACCCAGATATCTGCCCCACAGAAGCATAAAATTAATACACAGATACTGTTTTAAGCCAGTACATTTTTGGTAATTTATTACACTACAAGAGAAAACTAAGGTGGGTATTGTTTTCTTTATTGGCTTATTTTTAGAGCCTTATTTTAGTATAAAACCACTGTATGCTAATTTCCCTACCTTCCTAGTCCCCAAAGATTAACAGTGCTAAGTCTCTCCTTTCTCCTTCCAAAATTGCCTATGAATATGCATGATATACAAGTGTGCCTATATGCATCTATGCTGTCTAAAACACGCACACACGTAGAAAATTACACAGTGTATTTTTTCACTTAACCACCCATCTTGAGCATCAATCTAATATCAGAACATGAAAGTCTACCTCTCTCTTTGTAACAACCATGCAGTGCTGGGCTGTATGTCTGAATCACTTTCTACAAAACCAGTCCCCTACTGAAGGACACGTTAAATGATGAAATGGTAAAACTTCACTTTCCATCTGCGATTTTACAAGTCACTAACCTTGTTATTTTCTGTTATTTTGCGAGAATCTCACTAGATTACTTCCTAGAGACGAACTGGCTGAGCCAAAGGGTAAATGCAGTTGCAGTTTTCACCAACAGGACAAACTGCTACAACCAGTCACATCATTGATACTGAGGTCACGTGGCAGGGCCTCTTTCTCGACAATCTTGCTGTCTTTGGAGTCTGTCAGTTTTATAAAGTTTTTGACAATATGTCAGGTGAATGATACTCTACTATGGCTCATGTTTCTCTCATGATCGCAATGAATCATTTCATACTTTTGGGGGGACATTTTGATCTGTTTTCTATGATGTGCCATTGACATCTTGGGTGCATTCGCCATTTTCCTATCAATTTATACAAGCTCGTTGTGCCTCTGTTAAGACAATCAGATACTTATCTATTACGGGCATAAAAAGATTTCTCAGACTTCGTTTCCTTTTGATTTTATTTACTACAGAGAAATCTTCATGTTAGGGGAGATACACTAGTCTTTTCCTTTTCTGGATTAAATTTCATGCTTAAAATCTTCCCAGAACCAGGAGCCTGTGATTTTCTGCCTTTGTTTTGTTTTTTTTTTAATGGGACTCCTATTCACTGCTCTTTTAGGAATCCCTCGCTCTCAACAAACACTATTTTGTTTGTAGAGATAAGCTCCAGAACACTATGCCGGGCTCTCTTTCCTTAGAGCCCTACTGACACATCTGCACAAGTGAATTCACGTTCTCATCTCTAACAATTCATTTGACCAGGGATTAATTCATGTGTCAGCGATGAGTGGCCTGATTCACATAAGCCTGACCTAAAATAAATAAATAAATAAAAAGTCTAACTTTATCTTTGGGTCAGTAAGCACTGAAAGATGGTGGTATTTCTTTCTCTTGTGTTTTGTAAAGACATTTGGGAATTCTCTCTGGCATTCTTTGTCTCAAACACATGACACAGAAGACAGCAATGGGAAGGAAGAGGTGATGAGGCAAGGTGAGTGGGCAGGCATTTACCATCATCAAGACAGGAGGACTGGTCTTTATTTAATTTACATTTTCCTCCTCTTATTATACATAAATAGGAAACTACCAGATTGTGATAAATACCATGTCTCACAAATTAAGTCTGACAGAGTTCTACAGGTTCTGAGCAAATAAAAACCTGTTGGCTCTTCGACCTGAGGGAAAATGCTATCAGAACCTGATAGGCTTCTCTCTGCCCACTCCTCTGATTATGTCTGAAGAGAAAAGAATTCAAGCTAAGTCTACATAGAGAAAAAGAAAAATAATTAAAAGGATCATTAAAGTCTTCACCACATTTTCTCTACTCTCAATATTAGCACTGAAGAAAATCACAGCAATAAAAGACTCATCAGCGGGCACATAAACTAGGGTACAATTACTACAGAACACTACAGAGAGGAGTAGGATTGAAGTTTTTAATCACCACTGAATTACACATAAGAAATAAAATTCATGATACACTTAGCACTTGTATATATTGCCACAACTCTTCAGGAAGAATGTAAAGAAACAATTCCAGGGGCATCTGGGTAGCTCAGGCGCTTGAGCGTCCAACTCTTGACTTCAGCTCAGGTCATGATCTCGGGGTCATGAGAACGAGCCCTGCGTCAGGCCCCACGCTGGGTGTGCAGTCTGAATGAGATTCTCTCTCTCCTTCTCCCTCTGCCCTCCCCCACTGCCCTACATGTGCATTTGTTCTCTCTCTAAAAAAATAAGACTGCAACTCTTTTTTTTTTTTTAAGATTTTATTTATTTATCTATTTGACAGAGAGAGAGAGAGAGAGAGCACACAAGCAGGCAGAGAGGCAGGCAGAGAGAGAAGCAGGCTCCCCACTGAGCAAGGAGCCCGATGCGGACTCCATCCCAGGACCCTGAGATCATGACCTGAGCCGAAGGCAGCGGCTCAACTGACTGAGCCACCTAGGCGCCCCAAGACTGCAACTCTTAAAAAAAAAAAAAAAGATAGAATTCCAGCCCCAAGTAGGTATTTGGCCTTGTTTGCCCCTCTGTCACCTTTCACTGTTCTAATGATAATGTAAATAGACATCTCCATGGTATAAACGCTAATGACAGAATTAGCTGGGTGGTCATCAAGGAGTTGTGGAAATCCACTATTACCAACTGCTTCCCCCTCCCCCAGCGATATCTCCCTCACACCTTCTCAGAGGTAATTACTACCATGAACTCAGTCTTTAAAAGGATTATGTTTTCCTTTAGGCTCTTAAAAGAAATGTATATACATGTTTAAGAATATATGTGGGTATCCCTAAACAAAATACTGTTTATAGCTTCATGCTAACCTTACATGAATGGTTTCAACTAACTTTTTTTGCAAGTTGGCTTTTGCTGTCCAACACTCTCAGAGTTGCGTCCATGCAGACAGGTGCGGTGTTAATACTTCCTTTGTGCACAGTGTTCTGTGATGACTATGCCACAACTCATTTACCCATTTTTCAACCGAAAGCTACTTAGGGGGCTTCAGATGTTTCGCTATTACAGTGTGGCTACGAGGAGTCTCGACCATGCCCTCTTGTGTATATGTGCAAGAGTTTCTCTCAAGTTCTACCTGAGAATGTTATCTCTGAACTTCAGTGGTCTTGCTTTAGTATCATAATTTTATCAACTCTTGTTTTACCTTTTTTGCTTTGCCATCTTTTATCACTAAAGAGAAAATAAAGTTTTGTTCCAAAGGGGCAACTATCTCTCTCTCTCGTTTCTTCTCCCCAAACCTGTTACTGTTAACTCCCAATCTCAATTTGAAAGCAACCCCTGAGCAAAAGGATTGCCTTCAGGAAAGAGTCAGAGTCCTATTTTTAAATAGGAAATGAGTATAATCTGAAAGCCCACTGGGGTTAGAGCTTCTACGAGAGTACAATGACTTAGGACTTACTCATCCATCCTTTCCACCCATCATCCTTCACAATCCTCAAGACAGCTTCTCAAAACACAGATCCTCCTCAAATCCTTGAAAGGCAATCAAAATCCAAATCCCTTGTACTCTCTTTCACCTCTTTTTCCACCTTCATATTTTCTTACAATCCAACAAGCATGCCCCACTCTAGAATTACACTGGTAATTCCCCTTCTCTCACCCCATTTCTACCAGCCTGAGTCTTGCTTGGCTTTCAGCATCCTGACTAAGTGGCTCCTTCAAACTCTCCCATACTTTCCTGGTTGGAATTAACCCTTCTCTACCTTGCAACATCACAGATAATTAAAAATAACAAACAAAAAACCACAAAACCCCCCAAAAAACCCAAACAATCAAACAACCAAACATTCATAGTAATCTTCACTACACAGTTTTTCTAATATGGCTATACCTTGCTTATAATTGGTACTTGAGGCCAAGGACTCATATCTTAATCTTCACTATCCCTATAATGATTATAGATGTAATAAATAAGTTATATCTGCCATTTCCAGGCAAAACCTGAGATAAACTCTTGCACACATACTAGAGAAGATATATCCTAGACTGTTACTAGCAGCATTATTTGTAACAGGGAATGTAAGTAACGGGTAAGTTTAACTTTAGGGAGAATAAATGCTGAATGGTTCTGAAGGAGGTTAAGACATGTGGCCTCAAAATATGGCATCCTGACCAACAGTGTTTTAAGCTGAAGAAATAGGAGAAATGGCATGTGCAGGAAGGTTCTGTGCATGTGCACCTAAAGCAAAGGAGCGTCTTGATTCCTGAAAACAATGGACAGAGGATTGTGAATGTACAGCTCTTGCTCAATTTGCCCCGGTTTACTAGAGTTAGCTCATTTCTGCCCTGTCCTTGCACAACTTTTCACTCTTCCTCAAACCTAGCATCAATTCACTCAGGTCAACCATGTCTCTGGGTTTCCATTCCCTCATGAAGGCTTCTGTGTCACAGAAATCTTCATTAAATAAATGTGTTTGCTCTTCTCTTGTTAATCTGTCTTGGGTTAGGAGGTTCCCAGTGGAGAACTTAAAAAGGCAGGGAAAAAGGTATTTTTCCTTTCCTAGAGTTCTGAACACTGATCCTCTTCCTGTGAACTAACACATCTGTATTCCCCAGAGATAATCCCAACATGGAAACCTGTCTTGCATGATCCACAGATTTAGAAATGGAGAAATCAATAACTGAAAAAGGATCCCATATAAAAAAAAATTCTCAATTTCAGTGTCCAAACACTCTGAAAGAGAGGATGAGGTTTGGGCTAACTTATCAGAAAGAACAAAGTACTGATAAAACAAAAGGAAAACCAAAATAAGCGGGAAAGACACACCTGAATTTAAAAATGCTTGGATTATTTTAAGAACCAGCAAGAAGAAGGAAGACACAACTCAAGAAAGGGTAAGTCGTTACCTGCATGAGCAGAGAGAGGTGAGTGTGGTCGAGGCAGTGCTGGTGACTGTCCATTGCCTATCAAGCTTTTCCGGTTGCTTGTTCGGCAACTGTGAAAAGGAAAAACAAAATCGAAGTTTTAAAAAGCACATATAACGTCACTAATGTCCAGGTATATTCAATATACACAGATACTAGAGGTTCAGCAACCTATCTGCTCAGGCTGTGGCTTAAAGCTTTGCAAGTTAATACGCACTCACTAATATTTGAGGGGTGGCTGCTCCCTGAATATTAGAAAATATAATGTATTCATATTGCATAACACCATCAATATGTTTAACCACCAGTGAGTTGTAATTAAATGCCTTCTTTCTGCTCCCGACTGCAAAGAGGTGACACGCCATACACCAAGTGATAAATTAATGATTCAAATCAGCAAACCACAGGTAGCATCTCTGTTGACATGAAATTTCTAATACAAAATTACATGCAGTGAAGCGCAGTGACATTCATCTTACAATGATGCACTAATTAAAAATCTAATTATTTAGACAAATTTCCTATTTGTGCCTTTTGTCAATAGAGCAGCCGATGCCCAAGATGTATTTCACTACTGATTCATTTTTCATCTTGAATACTCCATTCAAATTCCTCATTAAGGTAAATATTTTGGAATCATAAAAATGGACCCTAGTTGGTATTACAATAATAGTGAAAGCCTTTTGCCAAAGGCACACTACCTACTCTTTTTATCCTGGGTACGCACTCAATAGAAACAACCTGCTACATTCAGGCAAAGGGCAACTACATTTTCCTGTTTCTGCCTGGACCAAGTTATAAAATACGTATTTGGATTCGCAGACAACTCTCACAAGCAGCAAAGAATAAGATAAACACGAAACTGGCTGATGATGACGCGAAAATTATCTCCCCTTCATGTACTTTTCCTTCAGCACAGACTGGCACTGCATTCTCTATTAGGAGTAAAGCAGTGAGAAAAAGGGGAATAAAAGCCAGCAGGTTACCTCACCGAATTCACCTATAATAAGGTTCAGGGCACTGTCATTCTATCCTCCTACACTTGGGCTGCCCTCAACTACCACTGAAGGTTTATCATAATCTCTTCTTGAATTCAGAATATACCTGTTTTAACAGGCACTTCAAAGAGAAGTTTTCACCTGACTTCCAAATTAGATACCATGGACATATTTGAGACTTTGCACAGAATATTTGAAAGGAACATTTCTCAATATTCAAATAATACATTTAAAGACCAAACTCAATTTCTTTCAGCAATATTGACTTGGGAACCAATCCTCTCCCTTAAAAGTTTGCTGCTTATTATCATTTGTCAACATTCCCTTATTTATAATTGGTTAAGGTCAGGCTGCATCATTTTATTTTCCTTACCGAAACAATCAACATCCCTTGGCATTTCTGTGAGCATAATTAAGATCACGTTTAGTCAGCCTTAAAGAATTGCTGATTAAGAATAGACCCTTGATACTTAATTATAAAGGTGGACTGTGATACTATCAACTCATCTATCAAGAACTATATATGACCTATTAAATTCAAAATTCATAATCATTAAATCAGATAGTATGATTGTTTTAAAAAGATACTTTATAATTTATTTAGTGTTAATTCAAATTGATGTCTTCTTTCATTCCAATACAGGAATAGTAAACATATCAACTTGTTAATGTTAATAAAAGAAGTTACAAATGACAGATTTATACCCTGGAAATCTCAGCTAAGTTATTTGTTAATTTAACCAAATTAACTGAAATATGAGTGAACTGCTAGAAAGATGGCTATATTATTTTTTACATTTAGTATTTGATCTAAATCACTTATGAAGATTTTCTCTTGACATTCAATTACTAATGTTCATATACATAAATAAAGTTTTCAGTAAGAAATGTAAATCAATAGAAATAGTAACCTAATGAGGGATACAGGTGAAACATAAGAACTTAAAATCTAAAAAATGGCATTTCTTGAAGAAAACCTTAAAAAAATTGAATCTTCCCAACAAACATATAGAATGACTAGTACACTACTATGGGCAAAATAAATAGACAATGATTTAAATTTAAAACAAAGAAAAACAAAAGAAATTTTCAAATTATGTCAGTTACTTAAAGCCTACCAAGAAAAGGCAGGAAAGTTCTGATTTTAAAAATGTGACTAAAAAAAAAAAAAAAAATCACAAAGAAATCTCTAAATAAAACCTGGAAATAGAATATACTTGTTTGCTTACTCTAAAAAGTATTAAAATACAAAGTATAAAAATATGTTAAGTTTAAATTACATTCATCCTTTTTTGCCTACTCTCTAAAAAGACAGTCATCTTTACAAACTAATGATTATGAATGCAATTTAGAGCATAAGAAAAAGGATTCTTCATCTATGAATATGGGAACAAGGAAAAAGTTAAAAACAAGGCACAGGGAACAGGTTTTATACAAAACCTTAAACAATCAGAGGCATATCTTATTGACAAATGCTATGAGCAATCAAAGTTGAAACGGTCTTCTCTAACCTCTCTATGATATTGAGCATGAAGGTAGAGACAGTATTAAAATTAAATAGACTTGAATCTCTCAACAATCAAACAGGAAGCTTTTAAACATGAAATACAAAACCAGACTTTATAAAAATACAGATTCCTAGGTATAAAATCTCCATACTCATGAAGTAGTGTCTTGGCCTCACAAATAAATTTATTTATTGCTAAAATCCTTAGGGTAAAGAGGAATTTTATACTGTATTTAACCCCAAAATACCTAATTCTTGATATATATATATAATGTAATATTATATCTAATATAGGTATATATATGTAAATACATATATTTACATATATATACATATGTGTATATATGTATATATGTAATATATATGTATATATATGTATATATGCATGTCTATGTATATGTATGTGTATGTGTGTATATATATAGATATATATAGATATATAGATATATATATCTATATATATCTATATATATATATAGATATCTCAAATGTAATATTAGTGCTTTTAAAATCCTGGGGTCCCAGCGCCTGGGTGGCTTAGTTGGTTAGGCAACTGCCTTTGGCTTGGGTCATGATCCCGGAGGCCCGGGATTGAGTCCCACATCGGGCTCCTTGCTCGGCAGGGAGTCTGCTTCTCCCTCTGACCTCTCCCCTCTCATGCTCTCTCTTTCTTTCTCATTCTCCCTCTCTCAAATAGATAAATAAATAAAATCTTTAAAAAATAAAATAAAATAAAATCGTGGGGTCCTCTGTGATAATCTGTAGACAACTTTCCACGGGTGGGGGACACTGGCATTCATCCAATCTCAATACAGCTTGCTTCCAATACCTCTGACATCACCTCATTTTATTGCTCTAGGTACCTGGTTCCCAATGAATTAATTGAAATCTGGTTTTAGGGGCACCTGAGTGGCTCAGTCAATTGTGCCCGACTCTTGAGCTCAACTCAGGTCTTGATCTCAGGACTGTGTGTTCAAGCCCCACACTGAGCTCCACGCTGGGGGTGGAGCCTAGTTAAAAAAAAATGAATTAAAACAAAATCTGATTTTAACCCATAGTAAAACAATTTTTAGCTGGCAGGACCCATGAGCATTCACTATCTATACCGCCACTGCACCTGGCACAGCCCACAGTGATGACACGGGTACAAAATGCTGAGTGGACCTCTGGGGTCACCATTTATTCCTCCAGGTTGTCCTGCAGGTGTAAGGAGAGGCACATGGTATCTAAGCACAAAATGAGCTCCCCACATGGTGGTGACTATGCCACACTCATTTAATCCATAAAGTGAAGAAAGAGGAGGTCGATACGCTGCCCCATGGACAAAATCCAGGTTCATTCCTTATCCCCAGCATGACTGAGTCCATTCAGCCTTCCTTGCTTTTTCTCAAGCAGGGTCATCCCAGGAAAAAACAGGGGATGTCCTGCTAGGTAAGACAGAACTACACTTCTACCGCAGCAGAAAACTCAACTTGTTTAAAACTGATCCTTGTCTAAGCTTGTAGAACTGTCTCCAGTTTTTGGCCTTTGGAACAAAGGTCATAGAATTGCAGAAGTCAAACTGAAGAACGGTCATACACTCAAGTTTCAGCTCTGCATCCCATAGTGCATTCTCTCCGCTCCACTCTTCAGAAGGAATGGAAGCCCTTTCCCCTGACTCTGCTTGGATGTGGGAGTCAAACACAGGAATACCCAAAGAGGCACATTCACCTCTTTGGTTCTCCGCCTGAAGCAACACAGGGAGGCATGCCGCCTCTGCAGCACATGCACACTTTGTGCCATCAGTTTGGAAGGTGACGCAATGACACAGATTCTTTACTTGCAAAATCGGAACTGAGCCCAAGCAGCAGCCAGAGACAACCTGAGACCAAGGCAAACAGTAGACCAGGACAGAGAATGATGATGCTGAGAAAGTACTTCTCTTTACTTCATTCTTTGGTTCCTCCACCCATGCACAAACTATACACACGCAACACACATACAGTACAACAAATACTGCTGACCGTGGACCTGGGATCTGAGAAGAATGGGAAGTGGAAAGACAATGGAAGTACTTCGGGGTGGGTAGGGCTGGGAGGCAAGGCAGGGAGAGACAGAATGACCTGGAGGAACATGACAGCTAGATGGGCACAGGGTATGGACATACTGTAGGATGACACCAGGCTAGCACAAAAATAACTGTTTTGTCTGCCTGGTTTTTGGCTCTGGCAGGTGAAGTGAGGATTGCACAGGGCACGCCTCCTGCTCCGAGTTCACTGTTCCCATCACAAAGCATTCTACAAGGAGCTGGTCCATTTCCTAAAGAACACCAACAGAGCCTCCCACTTGCCAGGAAGCTAAAGAGACAGATCCTGTATCTTTTTTTTTTTTTTTCAAAGTTTTTTTTATTTATTTGAGAGAGAGAGAGCACGCAGAGGGAGAGCAAGAGAGAGAGGAGACTCTCCCCTGAGCAGGGAGCCCAATGCAGGGCTCGATCCCAGGACCCTGTGATCATGACCTGAGTTGAAGGCAGATGTCCAACCGAATGAGCCACCCAGGCGCCCTGAGACAGGACCTGCATTTTACC